AAATTTCAAGATCGGGTATGAATACGATGAGATGTGACTATTTATTCGCTTTTAGGAGAAGAGCATTTTAAAATGTTGGAAGGAACCACCTGTAATTTTACTGTGCTCTCATCAGTCTCTCAATGACAGTGTTCAGTCCAGATCATATGACGATGACAAAGTAAAAGTGAAAGTGTTAGTCTCTCAGGCCTGTACGACTATTTTTGATCCTAGGGATAGCCCACCGGGCTCCTCTGTCCATGGGATTCTCCAGGCAAGAACACTGGAGTAGGTTGACCATTTCCTTCTCCAGGGCATCTTCCCGACCCAGGGATTGAACCTGCGTCTCCTGCACTGCAGGAAGATCCTTTGCTGCCTGAGCCACCAGGGAAACCCTACAATAGTGACAGGAATCCCCCTAATGAGTGCGCCAACTACCAACCATCACCAATACTTAGGGCTTCAAGGGCGGTCTTCTGCCTTTTAAAAACAAATGGTATTTAAAAATTGCTATGTGATGTATGTATACTGGGATGATAAGCCCAGCTTCTAGTTTTAACAATGTGTTCTTTTTTTTTTTTGTTTTAAACAGACTGATGACAACGGTCCTGAACAGAAAGATTTTACCTCTGGACCATGCAGCATCCTAGTTTTACCAAACACAGCTCACCTAATGCAATATATGTCCTGAACGTGCACTCAGGAGATGCTAAATTGAGGAGGACCAACAAGTAAACGGTGTCAAAGACGACACGGTGGGAGACAGGTGGTGGGGGCGAATCTCACAGCTCACACCATCTTAATAAGAGGTCTCTTTCCTTGATTTTCTGTTCTATGCCTATTTCATGTTAAAACATTTAACCTATTTACTTATTCTGAAACACGACATGTTCTGATATATGCGAGACAATAATATTTATGATTTTGAAGCACATTTTAGAAAATATTTTGGTACCATAATACAAGAATTGGCTACAAACTGTGTTTATTTATAACTAAGTGGGCTTTTTAAAACTTGAAAACACCGACTAAACTACGTATATAACCACAGAAAAGTGTCCCACATGCTTCTGTGTGCTCCTACACTCTAAGGGCCCTGAGGAAAGACTCACGACTCATTCCGTTTGGTGTCCTCAAAGTGCCTAGCATGGAACTTGCCCTGTAAAATTTTAATTAATGTTTGTACAAGTATACTCAGAAAAACTCTTATTATAAGAAAGCATTCTGTGTAAATAGTTCAATCCATGTTCCCAATAGGTCCCTCATAATAACAATATTCTCTTGATATAGTTACTAAGACTTCTCACAAATGAGCTATACAACAACAAAGTATTTCTGTTCTCTGGCTGCAGGTTCGAAAAATTCAACTAGCCAGAACTTTCTACCTAGCCGCTATTTATCCTGCATACCAATGCTTAAAAAGATAACAGCTCACAAACAAAAGACACAAGTATTCACTAAAAATAAACTTCTATCAATCATACACTGAACTTTAAACTATCCATTTCCAAAAAAACCACTATCCACTTGATGGTATTACAGCACTTATAAATGATTACTCATGTTTTCAATAATGACCTTAAAGAATCTCAAACACTCAAATTCTAAAAAAAAAAAACCCAAACCCTTATATTCTTATATTTAATAAGAAAGAAAAGTAGATCTGCACAGTTCAATTTTTTTGAATTAAGGATGAACGGGCATTTGTCTGGAGAAAACTCTAATTTGAAAGGATACATGTACCCCAGTGCCCATCACAGCACTATTTACAATAGCCAAGACAGGGAAACAACCTGAATGGTCACACAGTGGAATATTACTCAGTCATAAAAAAGAATAAACACTGCCACTTGCAGCAACATGGATGGGATCCAGAGATCATCGTAGTAAGTGAAGTCAGGTAGAGAAAGACAAATAGCATATTCTACTCATAGGTAGAATCTAAAAAAAAACGATACAAGTGGACTTATTTACAAAATGGTTACCAAAGGGAAATGGGGCGGGTAGGGATAAATTAGGAGTCTGGAGTTAGCAGATACAAATGACTATATATAAAATAAACAAGGCCCTACTGTATAGCACAAGGATATTACAGGATATTCAATTTCTATAATAAACCATAATGGAAAAAAATATGAAAATGAATATACATATATGTGTAACTGAATCACTTTACTGTAAACCAGAAACTAACACAACACTGTAAATCAACTTTACTTCAATTAAAAAAAATTAAGGATGAAGACAAAAAGTGTTTTGTGACTATCTTTTAAGTTATCAAAAGATGTTCAATCAGCCATTAACATACAAATTAACTGCCTGAAATACTGCCTGACTATAGTTTGGTTTTACTGTGAAAACATCAATACATGATTAACCACAAACCTTGAATAACCACAGTCCTTGCCCCCGCCTCCATCTATGTGAGTGGTGTGGACCCTGACGGCTGAAGACATTTAACAGCCTCCAGGACAATCTTCTGCTCAACACAGAGTGAAGTGACATTCCCTTTCCGTAGATAGGTGAACAACTCAGAAATACTTGCAACAAGTTGCCTATGAAAAGCTTCTGTTGATAAGCACCAATCCTCTACTCCCGAAACTGGCTCGGTCACTCCCCCACTCCACCTCTCTCCTTCCTCCTCGCCTCGGTGACCACCTTTCTGCCTGTGTCTCATTTAATCCAGCTTACCTCTCGACCCCCACCCTTGAGGGGAAGTGGAATTTCCCCCACTCCACTTTATTTTCTACGCTTGCCTGATCAAGCCTTAGTTTAAGCACATAATTTTAGTTTATCAACTGTTTTAAAACTACTGATATGTTTGCAAATGGGAAGCCCCAGCAGCTCAGCTGGTAAAGAATCTGCCTGCAATGCAGGAGACCCCGGTTTTGATTCCTGGGTCAGGAAGATCCCCTGGGTTCACTCCCTAGGTTGGGAAGATTCCCCTGAAGAAGAGAATGGCAACCCACTCCAGCATTCTTGCCTGGAAAACGTCATGGGCAGAGGAGCCTGGTGGGCTACAGTCCACAGGGTCACAAAGAGTCAAACACAACTGAGCAAGTTTCACTTTCACTTTTGCAAATGATTCCACTTGGCAGCCTCTAACATCCTAGGAGAACTTAACGTGAAGTTCAAAAGACCTATGTAGCTGGAAATGCAGTGTGTAAACAAATGATTACCTTGTCCCGCTGTTTAAAAAACTGACCTCTCCCAAGTGAAATTTTTGAACATAGAAATAGATCAGAAGAAGCCAATGCTTGTGTTGACAGTCTATGTTTAAGCTATTGGAAGTCATTTAAAAAAATAATAATTTTCAATGAATGATATCTGAAGAATGGTTGGTGATGTGTCTTACTGATTGAGTACCTATGTGTATAAATCTCTGAGTATGGACTGTCAGGACACAAAGATGAAGAAATAAGTAAGATATGGGCACAAATAATCATAAATGAACAAGGGTGTAGAACAAGTCTAAAAGACAAATGAGATCCCATCCAGCTGTAAAAGTTAGTCAAATGGTACCTGGGGTCAGCCCTGAAAAATGTGAGCAGATAGTTATTAGCGGGGGGAGCAAAGAAACAGCAATGAGAAGGAAGGCCTCGGAGGGAGGAAGCTGTGAGCCACACTAGGAGGATGCGGATTAGTCCAATTTGGCTAGAAAGCAGACTACACGGAACGCGGCTGTGCTCTGCCCTGCATGCTGAACATAGTATTTTGGACACACTCATAAAGGACAGAACTAAAGTCACATGACTGGAAAAGAATTCTGGAGGAAAGAAGGATGCAGAGATAGAAGAGGAAATGCCCAAGAAGACGTAATGAGGACTGTGCGTGTGTCAGTAGCTCAGTCGTGTCTGAGTCTTTGCAAGCCCAGGGACCGTAGCCCACCAGGCTCCTCTGTCCATGGAGTTCTCCAGGCAAGAACATTGCAGTGGGTTGCCATTTCTTCCTCCAGGGCATCTTCCCAACACAGACCCACATCTCTTATGTCTTCTGCAATGGCAGGCAGATTCTTCTTTTTTTTTTTTTTTCATTTGCCATTCTTTTAGGCAGATTCTTTCATCACTGTGCCACCTGGGAAACCCGTAATTAGGAATACCTATGGTTAGAGGGCCTTACTGTCCTTGAAACTGTTCAAGAAGCAATGAGACCATTCCTGAGCACCACATTCTCTTATGAAAGGCAGACGGGAGAAAATAAGTTCTATGTTGGTCTAAAACCAAATAAATTACTCATTCAATATGTCAAGTTCTAAATGTACCAAAACAAGGGAACCCACCTAGCTGTCACTAAAAGATCTTTCTTACTCTGTTCAGAATATAAACTAAAATAGCTATTCACTCCTATCTAAAATGCTTCTAGAAGTCATTTCTACACAACGAATGATAAGGTAAAGAGTCTGTTTCACCTAATTCACAAAAACAAACAGATCTCCATGAATACCTGCACGTATGTGCAGAGATGTAAAAGATCAAGTGGAAGTTCAATTAAGCTGAACAAAGTAAGACCAATAAAGCTTTATAAGCAGCTCTTCCCTTCAGACTTCAAGGCAGAAAAGATTTAGAGTCAATATATTGTATCTAGCTTGCTGACCTCCAAGGAGTCTTACGTCATCTTTGAATCCCAAGAGTTTGGGATGGTACCTGACACTTTGGGGCTTCCTATAAATGTTTTATGAGTGAGGAAAAAATTCAGAGTTCACAAACCATCAGAAAATGGCTGAGCTATTAACATACTTATTAAACTATACTTTGTAGGCTCAGGGCCAGATAATGTACAAACAGGTATTTCCCAATAATTTTAATATATATTAGAACTAAAGGGTTTTTTCCACTGAGTTCTAAAATTAGTGAACTAGAATATACCCCATTCTTTAAACATCCCACTTAGTCATACTAGATATATTTAACTATATATTGAGTTCCAAAGGCTCAACTTCTGGCAATTTTCATAAGGAAAGAATGCCACTGTTTAAATAACAGTGTGACTGTTTGACCAGGCAGAGAGAGGACTCTTAGTACCTTTATGGTTTCAGTGGGCACTCCAGGTTCTGGAACTTTATCCAAATAAGTGGTCAAGTCTTGATCAACGTGTTCAAACACTAATGTTAGTTTGGTTTCTCTGTCTGTTCGTGACACTGTACACACGTCAAACAACCTAAAAGGAAAAAGAAAGAAGTATTAGGCGGTAATACGAAAAGAAATAATCATCTGAAAGTCTTACACATATCCTTTGATCACAAAATTAAGGGGGGGGGGAGACTACATTTGATCATCCCTTGTGATAATATGTAAGGACACCTATTAGCCCTTAGCCCCTCAGTGGTATGTGTCCTTGAGACCCCATGGATGGTCACCTGCCAGGCTCCTCTGCCCTTGGGATTATTTAGGCAAGAATACTGGAGGAGGCAGCCATCCCCTATTCCAGGGAATCTTCCCAACCCAGGGACTGAACCCACATCTCTTGTGTCTGCTGCACTGGTAGGCAGATTCTTTATCACTAATGCTGCCTGGGTCTGACACTTAAATATGAAAGCGTAGGAGAGAAGCACTTGGTTAAGTGGTGACAAAATTCACAGTGGTGAATAGAAAGCAACATGAGAATGTCTGCTTGGAGAGCTCCTCAGTTAAGATCTTAGGGAGAACGTGCTGGTGGAGATAGTTTCAAAAACTGCAGCCTCTATAAAACATGGTTCTTAGCTCATAGGTCAAGAATTATTGAAGAGACAGAGACTAAGCATTCTTTGAGGACACTGGACTCTGCGATTTAGATTTTCCTGGAATTTAAGGTCTTCAAATCATGCCTATGAAAGTAATTAAAATGGAATATGGAGAAATCTGGTTTATTTCTAAGAAAGTGTTCTCCTCCTAGTCAATCCAATCATCTCCCTGGAAAGGGTATGAATTCTTTGTTTTAAAATTCCAAATATCATGCTAATAAAAATGGTGAATTTCTAATTTTTTTTGAGGGGGATGCAGACATTGCATTGGCAAACTATTCTGTCCTAAGATGATAAAGGCAGATTGACAAACTTTGTAATTATGTTTGGATGGGAGAATTCAATTTATCCCATAAAATCCTACAACTAATTCAAAATTTAAGTTTTAAAAACAAAGCCTTCAGTAATCAAAAGAATTTTCAAGCCAAAGGACTGATCCTCCTTTAGTTTCAACAGTCAAAGGACACCATCTGGGGGGAGTGGGGGGAGAGGACATGAGATGCTCACCAAACATATAAAGAATTAAACACGCCACCCATAAACAAGCTGGAAATAAATTTCAGGACAAGAATGTAATATATATACTAAGGAAAGGCTAATAAAAATTCTATTCATATTATTTTCTTTCATGTTTTAAAATGAAACAACACTTTCTTCAAAGAAATTAACTATAAATGTGCATATAACCCAAGTACTAAAATGCAGGGTTGACTCACAATTAGCCACTTTGTACATTACCACTTAAATTTTAATGCCTAACTGGTTCACCATGCCACTCTACTGCATTTCTGCAATCCATGGGCTCTACAACCTTTGGTACTTCTCTGTAAATCTAAAGTAAACTTTAAAAGAACACTATAATTAAGTTAAATCAGATGGAGTGAACACCACCAACAACCACACATACTTCATAGCCAGATCCAAACTCCTTTTTTAATTCTGGGCAGTCTGGGGTGAGTTCTCCAACTCCAGTAAAATCAATTCAGATCAACCAAATTTCTTCCCTACTTTGTCTACTTTCAAACATTCTAAGTTTTTTAATCATCTACTTATAAAATTAACTTCTAAGTTTCTAAAGTCTTTGAATATCACTAATGTGATTTATTCCGGAAAAAAAAAAAAGATTCTGATAAAGTAAAAACTCCTAATTTAAAAATGTATTACAAATAGTGCCATAAATCATATGCATGCTGTACTGTGAAAAATATGATTGCTATCATTCATGGATCAAACCAGTCAATCCTAAAGGAAATCTACCCTGAATATTCATTGGAAGGACAGATGCCAAAGCTGAAGCTCCAATACTTTGGCCACCCGATGCAAACAGTATACTCACTGGAAAAGACCCTGAAGATGGGGAAGATTGGGGGCAGGAGGAGAAGGGGACGACAGAGGATAAGATGGTTGGATGGCATCACCGGCTCGATGGACATCAGTTTGAGCAACCTCTGGGAGATAGTGAAGGACAGGGAAGCCTGGCGTGTTGTAAGCCATTGGGTTGCAAAGAGTCAGACACTGAACAACAATGGATCTGAAACCTGGGAAGTTTACGAAAACATTTCTTTGAATTTGGTTATTCGAGGTCAGTCAGTCAAGTCAGTTCTGTCACTCAGTTGTGTTCGACTCTTTGCGACCCCATGAATTGCAGCACACCAGGCCTCCCTGTCCATCACCAACTCCTGGAGTTTACTCAAACTCATGTCCATCGAGTCGGTGATGTCATCCAGCCATCTCATCCTCTGTCGTCCCCTTCTCCTCCTGCCCCCAATCCTTCCCAGCATCAGGGTCTTTTCCAATGAGTCAACTCTTTGCATGAGGGGGCCAAAGTACTGGAGTTTCAGCTTCAGCATCAGTCCTTCCAATGAACACCCAGGACTGACCTCCTTTAAGACGGACTGGTTGGATCTCTTTGCAGTTCAAGGGACTCTCAAGAGTCTTGGCCAACACCACAGTTCAAAAGCATCAATTCTTCGGCGCTCAGCTTTCTTCACAGTCCAACTCTCACATCCATACATGACCACTGGAATTCAAGGTAACTACCATTTATTCATTGGCTCTTTTGAACCATCTTCTTTCCACTAAACCCATATTCTTTGACAGTTTTACTTTTTTCTTCCACAATCACCAAGCTTCTTTATATCGTTGCTTCTATTTTTGTGATAAAATAAAATAGCAATGAACCAAAAATGGAGTGTATTAAAATCAGATACAAACATGAGAACTGCATCATTACAGCTACGCTTCTTATACATTACTTTCAAAATGTTTTTATTTTCAATAGAACATTTCCTTAATAAAAATACATTGCTTATCATTGCCTCCAGTCAGTAAAGATCTAGTAACTTCAGTTCTTACTGCACTTATGGTCTGTATACATCAGACATTTTAGTAATTTTCAAAAGAAAAAAAAAAAAAACACTGACAGGGACATAACTAGAGAATGAAGTGATCATAAACACTGCTAAACCAAAGGGTCACCTGCTCCCAAACCGTTGCTAGTTACCTAACACCCCTGGCAGTACGCTATGTTGCTTCATCTCACTGAAACCGTTTTCAAACACGTGTGTCACAATGCAAGAATAACATCTAACCCATCCAAGTTATTTTTCTCAAAGTTATAGCACTCTGCAATTTCTTAAGATTCACTGTTGCTGCCTGTAGCACCTGGACTCCACACCTGTGGTATCCAAGTGTGAGCTCCCTGGGGTCACTGCTAACTGCTCCTAATGATGAGCCATGGAGAAAAGGCACTAATTTTCACTGGCAATATTTTTAAAAGTGGGGTTTTAAGAGAGACATATTTAAAGAGACACAGAGTAGAATATTCTTGTGTAACTTTTAATGTCTATAGTTATATATTCTTCTAGGCTATGAAAAGAAGGGTGCTCAGTAGAAGTGGCTCATGCTGGTTCAAGGAGACAATTACTTTTATTTTTTAAGATAAAATTTTACCTGATACTATGAATAATAATAATAATAGTAATTTCACTTGGGAAACGGAGCCTATTTCTGTTTCAATAGAAATTCAAAGGTGACATCAAGAGAAGTAAAAGTTGTAGAAAAACCTGTAGGCGTTGGACTCCAGTGCTGGCCATCAACATCCTACAGACTCAGTAATCCACAGAAGACATTTTGGGAAATACTCCTCTATTAAACATGAAATTTAGTCTGACTTAATTGTTTGCGTGCTTGCGTGCTCAGTCACTTTAGTCGTGTTGGATCCTTTGTGACCCTGTGGACTGTAGCCCACCAGGCTCCTCTGTCCATGGGATTCTCCAGGCAAGAACACTGGAGTGGGTTGCCATTTCCTCCTTCAGGACATTAGTGATAATGGGTAGAAAATGCACTTTGAATCAGCAGTTATAAATACTAATCTTAGGAATTTCAGAACATAGTATTTTGGATGCTTTCTCATCTACAATGACTCTATCTGGAATCAGCCCAAAGCAAACAGTAATCACTTTGGTGAGCAATAAAGAGAAGATAGATGCTTTAATATAACAGATCAGACTCACATAAAGCAACTGAGCTAAACAAGAACTGAAATCCCTGGTATTTGGCAGGAGGTTAACAATCTGTAATATATTTATATAAATCAATAAGGAATGTGGCCAGGCTGCCTAGAGCCCCTACAGTTGCAAAACAAAAGGGCCAGACAGGTCTGAACACTTGAACATAAACCCTGGGAAACAACTTCAACTGTCTGATCTCTTGTGTTGATCAACATCTTAAAGCTTTCTAAAACTTAAAAAAAAAAAATCTCTTTCTATTCAGTAAACTGACAAAAATACCATTTCAGCGATTGCATAACTACAGCGCTGTTAGAGAAATATAATCACACTGTGCCGAAGATGAACAAAATATCTCAGATGACTTTTAGAGGAAATGAGAACTACCATTCAAAACCTTATCCATTAGGGCTTAGCTTAATGCGATCCAAGTGAATACTCAAAAAGTAGAAATGGAAAGTGGTTCTTCAGTGCTTACTGAGTCTATGAATCCAATTTAGCTGCAAGAAACATGATCCAAAAAAAGGCAGAGAGGTCATTATCATTTCACAATTAAGTCAGACAAGCCCCTAACTATCCCATAAAGCAATCCTCTCCCTGTCTCTGTTGTCCTGACACCCCAGCTGCAGGGCAGAGAGCAAGCACTGCGGTCCAGCGCTGCACTCAGCTTTCCAGCTGTCCTAGTGATGTAATCATCTCATAACAAAATATCTCCATGAATTAACTCTGCATCCTACCCATTGTAATTTGGAGCGACTGCTTCCTGTTCATGTTCTCCACTTAACTTGCTATTCTGGATCTATTGCATAGGCAAGTTGTCTTCGTCTAATGGATGGGATTATGTCCAATAGGTCTGGGATTTCCAAAGATTAACAATTTACAAAGGCCTCCCAAACAACATGCTCTGTAAACACATTCCCTGCCTTTCT